TATGAATGTCTGAGAGTGTAGAAATTGAATGAATGTAGTTTGGTAGTAAGTGAGTGTTTACATAATTTAATGTTTTTCCTACAACCTTTGACATGTTGATTTTTGGTATTCATGGTCTTTGTGTGGGATCTGTGCCTGTATATTTAGTGAGTGTTTCCTGAAATATAAGTGACAGTGTATTAACTAAATCTATATTTATGTTATCAGTGATGGATGAGGAAGTGTCTGTAGTATCATTAATGGTAGTTGTTGTATGTGTACTATTATCAATGCTTGTTGCTGGATTATCCTGACAGGTTACGTGATCTTCATTAATGTTAAATGTTTCTGTCTGTTGATGTATTTGATCAACAACCTGTTGTTTGATAAGTTCAAGTGTTGATTGTGGGATAAGGTTGTTGTGTATAATTGTTCTTTTTTGATCAACAACCCTTTGTTCGGTGACAGTGAGGTGAGGATATTGTTGTGTGAATCTATGGTATGGTGTATAGTTGTTGTCTGTATGCTGTCATGTTTGTTTCGAGTCTTATGATGGTGTAGTTAGTACGGATGATAAACTCGTTCATTTCTGTTGTCCATTTCATCCATTGGCATGGTTTTCCAGCCTTTGTGGTCTGTGGATGCATTGCCACAGAAACACCAAGGCTAGGTTGATTCCTCACATCTGTTGAGGGCATTGCAGTAGCCATGCTTGGGCCGGCGCTGCTTTCGCCACCGGTAACCAAGGGAGACTGGAGCCTATTTTTCGAACGTGAGCCTCTGCCTAACCCACGAACGCGGACCTTGTTAACCCGGGCGACGTCCGAGCCGGTATCATACTTAGATCTGGTTACTACCATGATAAATATTTCCACAGAATGTGGGTGTGTGGTCACTCTTATCTTCATTTCTCCCCATAGACCTTACTGGCATGGGTGTCCCTGCCAGGAGCTTGTGCTCCAGCCTGCATTGCTCTATGGTTCAGTAAAATTACTGGGCTCTCCCACCATGACCAGTTGGTGACCACGGGAGAGTTTATTATTATTATTATTAATTATTATTATTATTAAAATATTTTCATAGTTTACTCATTCAATTAAAAATACATGTCATATTATTAATAAATGCATTTGAATAAAATAAACAAATATAAAATTATTAATAAAAATTGCTAACTGTTTTAGATTTTTTAAAATGTGGACAATGTGGATCAATTTTTCACAAGCTTCAGCTATTTGTAGTTCATAAAACTACAGAATGCCCTGGAAATTCAACAGATGCAGATGCAAAAGAAGGACCAGAAGTAAAAAGGCCAAAAATTGAGCCAAAATCTGATACAAAAAAGAAACAGGTGTCAATTGGAACTGCAAATAAAAAACATTCAAGTTAGTAGAATAGTTTTTAAAATTTTTCAATAGTTAATTTTTGTGATAAATGAAAAATAATATATATACTAATTTAGTGAACTTTTTGAGACTTGTCAGAAATGGACGTTAAAATGAATTTTTTGAATATTTTTTTAGTTTGGTTGGAAGATGTTAATTATATCTATATCATACAATGTTTGAAGTTCTGTAACTTTGAAACTTAAAAAAAGCTCTTATAAAATAGCTCTTATAATTATTAAAAAGCTCTTAAAGAATTGAAAAAATTAATTAAAAAAGTAAAGAAAAATATCACTACATAAATTTGTTTTCAATAATTAAATGATGTTTGAATTAGAAAACTGGAAAATCAAATCAACAAAAATAAATTGTTGCAAAATAAAAATAATATAAAAATAATAATATAAAATAATAAAAATAAAATAAAAATGCATATACACTTTATTATTTTGGAATTACAGCAGTGAGAAAATTAATCTGAACACACTAAGATTTATTGAAACACAAGTTTACAAAAGTTAATTGTACACCTAATATGAAATATGAGCTCCTTTAGTAACTTCTTACATACCCATTGGAATTGATTACCTTAGTTTTTGAAATGTTTGTTTTTATCTCTCTTCATGAAGCCACATTTTGTGTTGGAATCAAATGTTTTAATTCCATCATATTTAACATTAAATGTGGTTTGCCAAATGATGCAACTGGCTGAACAAAAATACCATTATCATCACAAGTTAATCAAGTTTTGAATTTATTCTTTTGAGTTAAGTTTTCCTAAATTTACACTTTGATTCTCTTGTAGAAAAGAAAAGAAAAAACGTGATTACATGTGATAAATGTTTAAATTTTAATTTTTATGATTTTTTATCATTTAAAAAATATTGTTATTTATTTATATTTATAGGTTCATTTTCACTACAAAAACAGTTAACCTTACGAAGAGGACTTCCAGTTGTAGCATTAAAAAAATTACCTGAAAAATCTGTTTTGCGTTCTATGTTGAAGAATTCAAAATCAACCAGCAATGATGATAAGAAGAAAACCAATTTATTAAAGAAAGAAGTGACAAAAGAATTAAAAACAGATGTAAAAGACACAACTTTGTCTGACACAAAATCTATCAATAATAAAAAACCAACAACAAAACAAGCTAGATTTTTGGCTCTGCGAGGTGAAAAAGTAAAAAGTGGTTTAATAAAAAAACCAGGACAGCCATTGAAAACTAAAGTTCTTACTGGATCCTTATTAAAAGTAAGATAAATATTTTCAGGAAAATATCTTTATTTTACTAAAATTTTAAATTATTTGGTAATTTAGAAATTATTAATTAATAAATAAATCGGTGTTATTTTAAAACCAGCAGATAAGCTTGGTGTTACCCAGGCAAAAACAACAACAAAGATTAAGATTGTTAGGTTATTTCATACTTCTAATCCTCTAGTACAGTGTTCTGCAACCGATGTGCCGTCACAAGGTGAAAGGTGTGACGTGAACTTTTACATATTCTATTAATTTCAAGTTTTATTTATATATTTTTATCACAGTTGTATTTTTTGTGCTTGTATTTCATTGACTGATGAAATAAGATGATGTTAAAGCTAAAGCAATAAACACGTGTCGTTCCAGTACTCACTTATTTTTTGGAGTTATACATTGGACTCGCACAGATCTTGAGCAACTCCAAATGAAAACAAGAACAACACTTACTAAGTATGAACAACATCATCCTAAATCCTCCATAGAAAGATTAACCATTCCTGTTAAAGCTGGCAGACTTGGCCTGATCGACATAGTTAACCTCCACTATAAACAAATACAGACATTGCGAGAGTTTTTCTGCAAAAGACAAGAAACGTCACAGTTATATAAAGCAGTAACTCTAGCAGACTCAAATAGCACACCATTAAACTTACACTCACAACATACAGGCATGACACAATACATAAAAAGCATAGACATCATCAAGCAATCGTTGGCTCGAAAGGCACTCCATGGCAGGCATCCTTATGACCTGGCCCAGGATTTTGTTGACAAAACTGCATCAAACAGCTGGTTAGATCGGAGATGCCTCTTTGCGGAGACGGAAGGATTCATGATTGCCATACACGATCAGGTCATAAATACTAAAAATTACAGAAAACACATACTCAAAGATACAACACTCACAAATGACACATGCAGAAAATGTTACATCATGCCAGAAACTATACAACACATTATATCCCAAGCTACTAGAATAGTAGCTTGGGATGCCCCCTAGTGGGCGTTCTAGCAGCAGCATTGTCATTCTATGGTATAAATAATAAATTTCTATTGCAAATAAAAATAATAATATACAGAATTTCTCATGGCATACCCTACTAAAACGCAGCCAAAAATGCAAAAAACTGCATCAAATAATAATATACTGAATTTATTGTTAATTTAAATAATAGCAGGGGTGTCCCTAGTGGCCTTTTTGGCATACCATGACAGAACCCAGTTTTTCAGCTTTATATAGTAGATCATAACTCTGTGACTGTTAAAGAATATTTTAATATTTTAGTTTTTAAGTTTTTTGTAAATAATTGCTTACTATTTTATGATATAATTTCCGGATAACTGTTATTTTCTATCTCTATATTAACCATAGCTTTTATTTTTGTTGGAACCAGAGCTGTCATGTATTCTTTAAAAATTCATGCTCTAACTTGTAACAGCTGTCCACTTCAGTTTGAGTATTTCGTAATTCAGTGTTTTATCAATTAGGTGAATACATAAAGTAAAATAATCCTTGTGAAGTTGAAGTGTTTCTGTGTTTAACAAAATAAACCACGATATTCTAGCTTCAGTAGAATCTGAGATGTTTATGTTTAAAGTTGTGATTTATGATGATGTGGTGTCAACTGACAGGAGCTAACTTGGTGTTGTCTACACAATTTTGAACTGTGATTCATATTAAATATATAAAATTCAAAAATTGTTTGTGATAGGTTTAGCTTTTTGTCATATTGTTATAATAATTAAATTCTTGATTACTAACTAATATTTATTACATAAGGAAAAAGGATTATGCAGCTTGACACAATGCAATTGAATAATTATTCCTATTTTAGTTAGAGTCCCTGAATGATGTGTACACACATTAGAGTTATTCATAACTTTGTAAACCAATTTGGGGACAAATTTGATGGTAACAGAATAAGCCAAAATCATGGTTTCATGTTTGACAAGGTAATAAAGATCACAGAAACGTTAAAACTTATTCTAGAGTTACAAGCTCAATCTTGGATTGTGAAATCCTTGATTTGGAGCATTGTTGGTGCATACAATTGTAACAATATTCAAATATGAATTATTTTTGTGTGGCTTACATACAGCACTTTCTCTAAACAATAACAGGTCTTGTGAATATAATTTATAACTCTTGTTATTATTTAGATCAAACATTGAGGTAGTTTAATAAATATTAATTTACAGTGGTGACTCGTATAACATATGCCTGGAATAACAGACGCTGCGAATAACGAACTTTCTGTTTGGCCGTTATGTGACTCGAACAACGGACTGGCTGCGGACAACAGACTTTTTGTTCGGCAGTTATGTGAGGCCAACAACGGTCTTTCTGCGAACAAGTGCAAATGATGTTTCCACACTTTTGCCGTTGCCAATGACAATCTGCTATTTTTATAATATATTAGTATTATTAGAATATATTATTAGTATATCTGAAATATAGAGCTCTCGTTAGGATTCGGATTGCTCCCTTGTTTATTACGTACTGTACTGTACATCACCTCAGAGCATGGTATTTACATTTATTCAAGTGTTGTGCAAATCATGGCTTCTAAAAAAACAGAAAGGTGATTTCAATTGAAACAAAGAAGAAATCATCAGAAGGAGTGAAAGTTGACAAAAACTTCCTTGTCAAATGGGGAGAGGTTCAGGAGTTTACCAACACTCACTATCCAAACATAGCTGAGGCCAACAGGATCAATGATCTCTACAATGACACCCTTGCCCGTCATTTCCAACAGGTGTTGAAGAAGAGATAGAAACAGACCACCTTGGACATGTTTTTCAATAAGCCAGCAGGGAAAAAACAAAGAATGGAACAAGAGGAGTTGACCCTGCAAGCTCTGGTAGCCTCTCCTGAATCTGAATCTGATTAAAAAACAATAATAAAAAGAGACCTGCTGCAATGTGTAAAAAGTCTGTATCTGTATGAATGTGTGAAGAAAGTGTTCCTCCACCTCCTCCTCACAACATCTGACTACCCGGCATAATTGGTGACTGCTCCATTTTCATTTTTTNATCTGTATGAATGTGTGAAGAAAGTGTTCCTCCACCTCCTCCTCACAACATCTGACTACCCGGCATAATTGGTGACTGCTCCATTTTCATTTTTTCATGGTACAGTAAGGTTATTTTATTCTGCAGAACGAATTATATGTTTTAACACGTATTTCTATGGAAAAATGCGTTTCGTATAACGGACTTTTCACTTAACGGACGTGCGCCTGGAACGGATTAAATACGTTATGCGAGGCACCACTGTATTTGCAGTATGGTTCTGCAGGATGTGAAATAGATGGTAGATAGTTGGCATCAAATCTAACATAAGCTGTAAGGTAGATGAGGCATAATCCCCAGCCCAGACTGGTCAGCTTCTCTAAGGTCATCTTTGTTCTATGTTCTGGGTATGTTGTTGTTACTGTATTGCATTTTTGTCAATTTTTGGATGAAGTTCTTGATTTCTGTGTTCAAATAGTACAGTTGTTCACAGTAGACTTCTTTTTTGACAGTGATATTGGTTGGAAGCAGCTCCATCGTGATGATGCCAAACAAATTCAAATCATTACCTTCTACATGATCAGCCTTTTGATATTTGCAACAGCTAGTTGACCTTTGTTCCCTTAAAAATGCTTTAACAAACACTTAGCAGATAAGATTGTGCACCTTTGTTGCGTTGTGGCCACTTTTGAAGTGATAGAACAATAGAACACGAATGTGTTCTGTCAAAAGTTTTGTGCTGTAAGACACTGTCATACCTCTTTTTCCAATGAAATATGTAATGAAACATCTTTGGTTACTCTACTTATATATGTGCATTGAACATTCTAGAATTTGTTTCTAGAAAAAAAATCAAATGTTTAAATTTCATTTTACAACCTGATGATCAAATTTTTTAGAAAATAAAAATTAATAAATACTAAGCATAATTTATTTAATATTATTATTATGTTGGGTTTAGTGGGTTATACTCGGTACACACCGGTGGCTGTGTACTATGCCGGACCAGAGTCAAGGCATAGCAACCAAGAGCTAAAATTAAATAAGTGTGTCAGTGTCTGTATTCAGGAATTTCCTAACAATGTGACATGTATTCAATATAGTGGCCTTCTGTAGTGTGATGTATGTATTTCTACTCAATTGTAATGTTCCCAGGCTTTTGTGTAGTGTGTGTGTGGTATCACACCTGTACAGGAGAGAACGACAGGTACAATAAGCACCCTATCCATCCTCCACAGATGCCTTATTTCCTGGGCGAGTTCTGTGTACTTGCTAATTTTTTCAGTGCATGTGTTTTGTACTTTGTGAGTGTTTGGAATGGCTAGGTCTATAATGTGTGTGATTTTATTGTGTTAGTCAATGAGTGTGATATCTGGTCTGTTGTGGTAAATTGTTTTATCTGTGATTATGGCTCTGTCGTAGTACAGTTTGTGCGTGTTATTTTCCAATACTGTCTGTGGAATATACTTGTAGTATGGTTCGTG